TCCGGGGAACCCCGTTCCCAGGCACGGCTCTCCCACTATTTTGGGGGGTGGCCGGGGCCCAGGCTAATTGCCCTGGTCCTTCTCGGGATCCTCTGGCACTGAATGCCAACGGGGTGCTGGCAGCCAAGTCTCCGATCTCGGGGCAGGGCTTTCACATTGACCCCCCTACTTCCAGCCAGCTAGGGTTCGTCACGCTGTAACGGTACAACGGTAACATGTTTTTCCTTGTGTCCGGTCCCCACTGTGGGTTTTGACTCCTTTCTTACCGACCCACAGGCGTCCCCAGAGGGAACCGACCCTGTCATGAGACGCACAGTCGAACACGCTCCCTTTCACATATTTAAAGTGAAAGGAGATGAAATTCGCTCGCGTCGGATACAGCCGGTACTCCGGGCGATCCCTCAGAGTCTTCCATCTGTATGACTCGGTGAGCCACGCTTTTGGGGTGAGGCGGAGTATCATCAATCCCAGTGATACGATGTATATACCCCCACCCTTGATCCTAAAGCAACCACCTAAGGTTGCTTCAACGCTTATGAGATCACGAGCGTCGAGATCCAAAGCAACCCCGTTGGCAAGTCTCTCTCTGTCCGCCTGAGTGCGGAGTTGGGTGCAGAGCATGCAAACGGTGTTGATGGGCCACGTTGGTCAGCCGTGGAGGCTGTAATGCTTAAGGCCCCCGGGTGGGGATAACATTAGGCAACACTTCCCACTGGACCAAACGCTACCCGGTCGGTGTGGTGCCGGGATCAGACCCCATAGCCTGAGATGAGACCAAAATGCCTCCAACCGGATTCCAAGGCTCCTTCCCCAGACCCCGGTACCACGAATTTGGCAAACCGGGCAAAGGGGGATAGCCGTGTTCCATGGGTGTCCTTTCCAATTGAAGACTACCCATCTAGCCCTGAGGGCAGAGTTGCTTGAGCACATTATGCATGGCCAGCACTCTGGAGACCTTGGAGGCAGAACGCACCAGCCTCCTAGACCAGGCGACATTTTACGGGCGGGCCACCGCACATCTACATGCGACACCCCCTAGTGTCGCCTGGTTCTCTTTGCCAGGGCCACTACCTTGCTAAGTGACGCGGCCTTAGACACACGTGTTTTCCGACAAGCTGAGCCGGGGTACGTCCCCACCTCAGTGACGCAGACTGGACTTCCTCCACCCTCTTTGTTCAGGGAATGGTGGGTACAGTCTCGGAGCTTCGGAGTGCAATGAACCGGAGGGTTCAGTTTGAATCCGCTAGCCAGTTGGTCCTGCCATGGGCAATCGGAGGGCACCCCAAGCACAGAAAACACAACGCCCTAGGGCGTTGTCTGCTAGCTGGAGTCAGCCAGGAGGCAAGCGCTTATACCCTTCCATGGGAGGGGAGGGTAGTGGCGCGCCCCCAGGGAGGTAAGAGCTAGGTGGTGGCTTCTCACCCTCACTGGGCGGAAGTCTACCCGGCA